ATATATATATATATATATATATATATATATATATATATATATATACACATACACATACACACACACACGGTAATTAATCTGGCGCCGGTGTCTTTATTTCAAAACTACAAAGATGTAGACACACTGAGAGACAAACGATGACATAATTGCCATGGATGTTTAGCACAGCCACATCAACAACTCAGTGACCTGTTGACTGATTGTGATTGATTGTATTTGTGACCTCTTTGTCTTTCTGCCACACTGTATCCATGTGGATTACGTATTCTTGTTTACATTCACTCCATAATTATTGATCCATTTTTTGGCCGGAGTTTCTTCCACTGTTGCTGGCTAGTATGTCATTTCCTTTATTTACTTTGAACCCGTTTTCAGTGATCAGCTTTTATAGTCTTATCCACTAGTTTGTTTTACATATATACAGTATATATATTGGATAGTGTGCGTACCCGAGGCTCTTTGGATTTTGCACCATGTGTGTGCAAGAAGAAGCTACAATCTCCTAAATTAGCCCAAATCAAGATATAGAGCTGTTTTCTTGCTCTGTTGAAATAAGAGATGTTCTGTTGGCAGGAAGGAAACCGCATAAGAGCAGCACCTTTTATATCTTGCGTATCCACTTCCTGTCACTTTTTTTTCAGCTGTTCTTCCCAGCTGCGTTCAGTCTCTTTCTTGCCCATTTCTCAGTGTCCACCCAGCCCAGTAAACTCTTGACATTATTATGGGCCTTTGGTGAACCTCAGAAAAACAGATTACATAGAGGGAGCCTGAATGGTAGAGATGTCGGCCTGGCTCAGCCCAGCCTGGATTATGATGTGGACTCTAATCCAGAGGGATGGACGGAGAGATTGAGGGTTAAGGGATTGCGTGAGCTCTGGACTTCGTCCAGGTGGATTCACAACAGGCCGTCATGGTCTCTATTTACTTATTTTTACGATGCTAGTCGTGTTTTTTTTTTTTTTTTTTTCACTTAAGGGCCTCTATTTGATAGTATAAAGGTATTTATCAGAAATGATTAGCAACTTAATAACATCCCTTTTTATATTTTACATATTCAGTTTGTTTGGAACATATAGATTGAGATTAGGATTGGATAGCTTCAATAATGACCAAGGCATTCATTGCAAAGATAACAGTGTTGGTAAATGTTCTCGTGACATCTTGTCTGTGAAGTACTGGTCCCTCCGAACTCAGATAAAACCTCTCAGTTTGGACTCTGCCTTATCATCCTTATCGGTTCAGCTCCACCTCACAGCAAGGCCTCACTCACACACATGGAGCCGCCTCCTCCCTCCTGCCTCCTCCTCCCCTCCCCTCCACCCTCTCCCTTGTTGCAAAGGATTACGGATGGACGCAGAGACTGCAGCCCGTTATCGGGTCCTGCTAACGGCATAGGGGTAGCCGCGGTACGTCCGGTACCTGGCTGCGAGGTGCAGGGGGGCCAGTCAGCGACAATGACAAATTAATATCCGACCGCGGGACGGTGGACGAATGGGCGCTTTTCTACCCCGAAGATAAGCGAAGAAAACAAGGCAGAAAGAGCGGACATACACCCCTGTAGCGTCGGGCTTGCTTTATCCGCTCACACACACACACACACACACACACACAGACCAGGCTCACCATATTGATACAATAGTTAACAGCAACGCGCGCGTGTGGTGTGTTTTTGTGGATATCATTTGGATCGCCTCACGACATGTTCGAGTAAGTGACCTAAACAGTCTCCTGTAGTGTGATGGTAGCATTGTGCTATGCGGTGGTCCGTCTGCTCGTCATACAGCCTGCTCGTGGTACGTTTGGATGTGGTCACAGCGTTTGCAAATCCGTCTGATCGCATGGGTGGCTCGCACATAGTTTTATGCAAAAAGCACAGGTGTGCAGCCGCGGGCTGGCATGAGCTTGTATAAACTGATTGCTAGCCGTGTGTTTGTGTTCGTGCTATCGGTTCTCGTTTTGGTCACACTGACCGCGGCAGACCCTCCACCCATGCACAACACTGCTTCCTAAATGGACCGCGTTTGTCTCGTTTGTCACGTGTTGTGTCCGGTCATCGAGTGTGCTGGACTGGATTGTTTTTGGGTATAGCCGGTGTTTCGGTGTCAAAACCTTCCCGTACACAATCTATGGTCAAAACGTACCGGATTTGGATTGTTGGAGTGGGAAACGTCGCGTGTTGTTTGTGTTAAAACATAAACAACACGCGACATTGTTTAAAGGAAGTTGCCCTTCTGAAGTAATGAACTTGCTAAAAACACATAATCGTATTTTGGGTAAACACGTGTCACTTAGAAGAACCCTTTAGCACATTTAACAGTAAAAAAAAAAAAAAAAAAAAAATGTTTTTAACGGGATTCGAACTCATCATTGCGTAGAAACACGTGATGTGATGCCGGGGAACCTGTTCGATACTTCGTTATCAATTAGAGAGACAGGATAACAATTGCTGCAACACTCAGTGAGGAGTCCTGTTGAAAGCAGAAGGCAGCCAGGTCGACGGATACCCTGTCCGTGTATCCTAGTCTGGATTTCTGCTTGTTTACAACACAAATAAGAGGTTGTTTCAAATCTGTAATTAAAAACATCATTGTTTCCCTGCAAGAACATTGAGGAAGATGTTTGTGATGTTGTCATAATCCGACAACATAAATGGATAATTCATTTTAACAACTAATCCATGTTAAATTCCAACGGACAGGGCAGTCACAAGTCGATCTGGCTGCCTTCTGCTTTCCAGAGCGACTGCTGTCTGAGTGTTGCACTTATCGTTACCGCGTCTCTCTAATTGATAACGTGGTGTAATGGCACAGTTTCTTGTCCCTGCCATCAGTGGTGTGTTGCGCAGGAGGTGATGATGATTTCTGACGAATTTCTGTTTCCGCTCCAGTTCCTGTCACTGTGAGCTGCGACCAAGTTTACAGGGACAGCGTTCATGCCATTTGTTTGAATTTTTACCTAATTTAACCAAATAGATATTGATGTCTCACAAAATGGACCGATCCTCCTACTTTAGTCAAGAGAAACAGATCGTTATAGTGGATATGAAGAATATGAAAACAAATATTTCAACACTGTTGGCAAGGAATGATGGCAGAAAACTGCCAGTAATGTAAATTTACAAGTTAATATATTAGTTTGAACACTTAAGACACTTTTAAAACTGCTACTTAAACGTTGAAATTGAGGCAGCATATTTAAACGATGTATTTGGAAACTGCATTTAGGTCGGACATTATGTGCAAACATAGAGACAAAGACGACTCTTATTTTGACTGTAAACAATGAGGAGAAATGATGCTTCTGTGTCCCAGAGGCTTATTGTCAGACCATTTAAAATCAAAATCATTTATGCTGATAACACTGGCTGAACATATTTCTTTGGTCTTCAGGAGGCAGTTTGAGATGACTCACTATTGTCAAATAGGAAACGCCCGCAGCCTGTCTTTATAGCATGCCATTAAAGACATTAGAGCAAAATTGAGCAATAAAATATGAAAGCGTTTCCTCACTTTTCCCTTGAGATAAATCTCTCTCTCCGTGTCTTTTTTTTGTCTCCAGTACGGCCAGTAACTCTCCACGCAGCACCCCCGGCAGCTCTCCCTCCCTGCGGCGCAGGGTTCTCGGGGGTGGCAGGGCCAGTGAGGGCGAGGGAGGAGGAGAGAAGAGTGGAGGAGGCGGCGGGGGAGGAGGCGGAGGAGGCGGAGGAGGCGGAGGAGGCGGAGGAGGCGGCGGAGGAGGCGGAGGAGGAGGAGGAGGTTCAGATAGCCCCCTGCCCTCGATACCCTCGGCCTCCTCTCTCACATCCGCCTACCCGCTTGCTTCTCGCCACTTCAGCCGCAATGCAAAGGTAACTAGACTGTCCACTGATCTAAGTAATATGTCGAGAGAGCTAAACTGCTGCCAGGAGGTCTGTAGATGCAGTAGGATTGCTGTGTGAGCTTTATGTGTGCGAGTAAAAGACTCGTATCTTTTTCATGTGATCCCAGTGAGCATTGACATGACGAAACCAAACGTGTGTTTAAAGTATTTTTGCCTTTTCTAAAATGGTGTATTTAAATATTTCTGTCTTGGCATTGCATAACTTGGGTATGACTGTAAAGCTGAGGCTCTTTCTATTCATGTGTGATGATGTTGGTCCCCATGAGTCCTCTTTTTTTTTTTTTTTTTTTTTTTTTTTTTTTTATTCTTTTTTTTTTTTTCTTTTTTTTTTTTTTTTTTAAGACTGACGTCCCTTAATACGATGTTGTGACCTCTAGGATAATCACATCCACGTGAAACTTTAAAACTACAAACTAGAGACCTTTAGCATTCAGAGGGTGGATGGCTTCCAATAACAATGCAAATTCTTGCAGAAATCTCCAAATGTCAACCCAATTATTGCTGCAACAACTTATGGAGAATGGCCATCATATACTTCTATGTTAATGTTCTAAGCGCTTTTACACTTTCACAATTCATTTTAATGAATCAGTTAATTGTTTTATAGAACTAGAACCTTATTCTTCAGGTTCCCAGCTTTCAGATGTGCGTACACTTTTAACCTGCTATCTCCCCCTAAAAATAACAGAGTTGAATACCAAGTGTTTGTAGGTGAGGTGTGGGGGGGCATTCCACTGCTGAGTGAATGTAAATGTTTGTTTTGCATTTTCTTTACCTTCCATTTTCGACATTCGAGCTGTTACAATGTCAGCGTGTTTGCTCTTTGTACATTGACTTCTAGTGTTTGTAGTTCCGTGTGACGGAGGGGTTCTGTCGCATCGCTTTTGTTTCAGGCCCATTGTTGTGAAAGGAACTCGTTATTATACGACTGTTCGTTACAGCTGGTCAGTGACGCATACCTTTTTAAAATGGAGAAGTGCTGAAAACTCCAACCTCCAATACCTCAATGTTGCATAACAAAAAAAAGCAGCTCAGCCTCAGGACTGGTGTGGCAGGATCTCATGCACACAGATATCGAAGTGCGTTACTTTACCAAATGTATGCCGATAGATTCTCCTCATTATTTTTTTGTATTGTTGCAGAGAAGTGTGAGCGCTGTTCACGACTAAATATGCTGTTCTTTTCTTTACAGAAAATGCAGAGCTGGTACAACGTAAGTATACATTAACAGCCTCTCATTGGACTTTTTCACCACATGGTTAAAATGTTAAGCATTGAAGAACACATTTTATCCGTTAGCTATTTAACCGACACATCCCAGTCTAGCCCAAGGCTTGTAACAGGCTAGTTGTGAAGTAGAATACCATGTTCTCCTTTCTCTTTCCTGTTCTCAACCTCAGGTTCTCAGTCCGACGTACAAACAGCGGAACGAGGATTTTCGTAAACTCTTTAAGAAACTTCCTGACACAGAGCGACTTATAGTGGGTGAGTGTGACCACATGCGTGTCAAAAGCATTTTGGCGTGTGTGCAGAGCTCATGTGATAAAGCGAGCTACACGTGTGGCACCAAACACCCAAGAAGATTAGATACTTATCAAACCCCTCACTTACAAATCAACCTCTTGAATTGTTGAAATGATTTTTCTCTCTCTTTCTTTTTTTAATTGACCTTTTCTTTTCCTGTTTCTCCGCAGACTACTCTTGCGCTCTGCAGAAGGACATACTGCTTCAGGGCCGCCTCTATCTGTCCGAGAATTGGCTCTGTTTCTACAGTAACATCTTCCGCTGGGAAACCACTGTAAGACATGCGCACAATCGATCAAAAAAGCCTGTCGTAAGCCTGGTTAATGTCACACCTGCAATCAGATAAGAAGTCGTTTTAATGCACTTGTTTGCTGTTCAATATAGATACGCTCAGGCCATTTGGTGAGATAAGAGTGTAGCACACACACACACACACACACAGTAAATCTCCCTCCTCCTCGTTCCAGATCACTATCCTGCTGAAAGACGTGACCTCTATGACCAAGGAGAAGACTGCCAAGCTCATCCCAAACGCCATCCAGATCAGCACTGACAATGAGAAGGTCGGCCTCCAGCACAAATAACATCGAGCCCGACTTTTGGCCCATTTTCAAAGACTTTAAGACTTTAACACATTCTCTATCCTTTACAATTAAAGTTAACTGCTGCTGCAAAAGCATGGCGTGTTAGCTGTTGATATCGTTTACTGTAAATTACCCTTTTTTGCTAGTGAAGCAGTATGAAGTGAGCTGACTCAACTTTTATCTCCACTGACTGACAAAGCAAACATCCCGACAGACTGAAACCGCCAGTCAAATCACATTTTTCGTCTTTCTTTCTTCCTTCCTGTCCCACTGATTTTCCCCCTCTCAGCACTTCTTCACATCTTTCGGAGCGAGGGATCGCAGCTTCATGATGATTTTCCGTCTGTGGCAGAACGCCCTGTTGGACAAGGTACAATCTTCTCTCCCACCTTCCTGCCTGTTCTGACACGGCTAGTAGTTACCATCTTAGAATAGAACAGGGTGTCGAGAAGCAGTGAGACGGCCACAAACGCAGGCTTCGGAGAGCGATTTAAATCACTGTTATTTGCTGCGTTTGGATGAAGACATTTTTATTTGGACAGCGCTGGTGCAGAAACACAGCGGCGTAGCATGAAAGCATATGGACACAGGCGTCTAGCTGAAAGGTATTGACTTAGTGGTGGTGCAAAAGGCTGTCAAACAAAACACTTCAGTCGCTGCCAAGAACAAACGGCAAATAGTATATTGTGATTATAATCAGAGGTGTTAACTTTAACTTATTTGCTAATATGAATGTTTCAATTTGTCATCATGCAGCTCAACATGTTGATTGACTCTTTTAATGTCATTGTTTCTAAAATATTGTGTGATGCATGACCCTTGTTGTTCTGATATTGAGTGGTGGTTGTGGTTGGATGTCCCCCACCAGTAATTTCAATTTGATCCTGATCAACTGCTGAATATGAATATTGTGTTTTATTTTACAGTCTCTGTCCCCCAAAGAGCTGTGGCACATCGTACACCAGTGTTACGGCAATGAGCTGGGCCTCACTAGTGAAGACGATGACTATGTCGCCCCCACCACTGAACACATGAACGGCCTACTGTGAGTGTTCATGTGTAATTACATGCTTATCGGAGAGTTTTGTATTGTTTGTGTGTGTGTGCAGGCATGCTTAAGGGGAACACCAACTTAATTAAGAATTCCAATATGATGTTTTTACGTAGCCAAGTTCAAACTAATATTAGTTGCTCTTTAACCAAACAAGTGGTTCCTTTTTCTCTGTGTCTTTGTCTCACAGGCTTTCTGTGTATGCGTCTCTGTCTCACTCACTCTCACTTCCTCTCCCTCTGTTCCCCAGGCCAGGAGACGAGTCCGTGTCGGTGACGGATCTACTAGACCTGAGCTCCGTGTCGGTTATCTCTACGGGCAGCTCTCCCTCTCTCCTGATGCCCTTTGGTCTAGTCAGCTCACCCTCAGCTACTCACCTCGGGGGCTCCTCTCCCCCTTCCTCCGCCTCCTGTCTGCCCATAGAGGTGCCTTCGTCATCTGGACGCAGACTCAGCTCTGACCCCCTCGAACCCAGTCCGCCCAGCTCCCACAGCTCGCTGCCATCCACGACTCCCACCAACATCTCTGCCTCGGCCCCGGTCTCTGCTGCTGCCTCCTTTGTGAGTGTTCTTCTTAACACACGCACATACTTCGGCATACAGCACAGCAAAAGCTAGTTGTCAATGTAGTGTTTTGCATCGTCTGATCTCATTATTATTTTGTACTACTTCATAGTACAAAATAAGAATAGTAAAATACCTGCACCGCTTGCAAGGCTGTCATCATCATGCATTTTCAAAAGATACAGGTTATCCCATACGACTGTGGACTGTCGGCACCAAATGCTTAAAGGAGAGACATCCACTTTAATCATCAGATTCATCACAGGCCGAGCATAAAGTCCACTTACTGATTCGTCTGCTCCTGCTATTTGTGTTTCAAGGTACCAGCCTTGCGTTTGCAGACAGCTGACTAGCTAATATTAGCTACATGGCAGGGATGGACTGAAAAAAGTAGAATCCACACACCGCTCCACCAACTTCTTTGGCTTCACGTCTCATAGCCAAAGATAAAACCTCGTCAACAAACCGAGACCTCAGATCAGTGTGCACTAGATGTCTCAGCTAGAGTAGACGTGGGTCAAGTACTAAATAGCCAGAGTGTAACTATTCATGTCACAATTTACGGGACTGTTGTGACGCAAAACTAATAGTGTAGCAGCTATCATCTTTGCAAATTCTAACATTTTTTTCCTATGGTGCCAAAACAGAATCAAAAACTACTACAACACTTTGTGCCGAGCAATCATTGTTCCTCCGATAGATCTTGTGGATTCTGTTTGCGTAACGCTCGTGCGATGGTAAGTAAATAATGGATTCTAGCCAGCTGTGATTCACGTTGTATTTGATGAACTAATCAGAGTTGTACACTTGCTAACATATCTAGTACGCACTGGTATTAATAGAGCTCAGTGGTCTGAACACTTCTGCTTCATTAACTATTCACTCTTGAAACACTACTGACGGGACCCTTGTAGAAGATTGGGGACTTAGTAAAGTGTTGATACAAATCTTGCCCCGTCTGTAACTGTGATAGTTATTATTTTGCTTTAAAGATTAGAATTCAAATCACACATACTAATCAGATGCTTTATTACAAAAATACATAATCTAGCACATGGCAGGTTTGTTTATATAGCACCTTTCGAAACACAGAGATAATGCTTAGAAAAGGCAAAAATAATGCATTATACCAACATAGAAATACAAATAAAATCATTTAAAAACTGAAATACAAACAGACCAAAAATACAGGATGTATTGCAGTAAAGATGTGCAATACTGTGTCGTTGTTCTAGTCTAATCAGTTCTGCTCAGAAACCGCTACTGTGGTTGCTGATTTTGATATGGACAGATCAAGCTCAAGCTCAAGTGAATAAATGGAGTGCTGTGTTGACTGTGTGTCACTTTCAGATTAATTGCGCGCCTGCAGTGGTATGTCTGTTCAGGCTGCGTCAACACAAGGTCGGCTCAGCTGAGGCCTCTCTCCGCTCAAGTCATATGACAATGGGGTGATTCCTCTACAAACCTCCTGCTAACTATCCTCTGGTGTGCGCTTTTTTTTTTTTCCTCACTGCATCAGAATCTGGAAGAGGGAGGGGACAGCCTGTCCGAGTCAGCCAATTACATGCTGCCCCCGCCGACCACCAGTCTGGGAAACCTCTCGTCATTGGACATAACCAACGACGAGGAACTGCCCACGGACCCCAGCAACTCCTCTGACACGCAGGAAGAGAGTGAGTGTTGTTTAGGTGACAACCGCAAGAACCCAGAAGTGATGAGAAAGTGTAACTTATCGGAATATTAGAGTAGATGGAATACATATATTTTAATGGTAACTTCTTCTCTTTTTTTGCATTTTAATACTTTTTTAATTGAGTGAACTTTAAATCAGGGAAAACACAACAGTCGGTAGTTCTGAACTAAGCTAAAAAACAAGGTAAAATCTACCTTAAACGGACAGTTCACCCAAAATTAAAAAAATAGTAGTAGTGCTATTTATCAAACCAGATTGTTTTGGTGTGGTTTGCTGAGTGCTGGAGATATCGGCCTTTGAGATATCTGCCTGTTTCATGTAGGAACTATTTTATTTCTACCAAACTGCACCCGCTAGCCTTATCACCGAGCAGATGAAGTGTGCGTCCATACCCGATTCTGCTAGCTCACATAGCACTGAGCTAGCTAATGTTACAGCTCAGCAGAGGAGGCCGCCATTAATGTTGACATCTTGTGCTGTCCCGAGCATCTTGTCCATGAGTAGATGCTCTCTTCCTTCTGTGCAGTGATATGTTTTGCGGGTGTAGTTCAGTTGAAACAAATAGTTCCTACATGAACCGCTCATAACGAGGTCTGTGGATTATCTTGAGTAACCAGGTCATGATTAATAAGACATTGCTGTTGAGTTTTTTGGGCGCTTTGAGCACTACAAGCTGAGCCATCTAGCTTCAATATATTCGAGAGAATGCACTACAGGTAAGAAGAAGAATATGTGTTTTTGGTTTTAGGGTGAACTGTGCCTTTAAGGGCATACAAACTCTCATGGGAGACGCTGTTATACTATTTTAATCTCTATCCTTTTGATTTACTGTGCTCATTAAAAGTTGCTTTAATCTGACTGTGAACTAACCTCGATGTGCTGAAGGTTTTTATAGTTATATTATGTTCCCTTCCTCCTGATCTCTGTGAATGATTTGTTTCTTTCTGCTTCGTTGCTTCCACCTCTTCTTCCTTCCACAATAATCGCAGGGAAGATTTTTCAAACATTAACACGGAGTGATTTACTGCTCTGTGGGGGAATCTGTCCTGAACTCAACACAATTATTCTTTTGGAATTTTACACATGCTACTTTAGCAGATTGGCAGATGATGAACCTAAAACTGCCTCCAAGCTGGCAACATTGTAGTACGATTGCCCGTAGGTTTAATATTAAGCACAGAGAGCATATTTATTATAGAAGTCTTCTGTTTTCTTCTTGATTTTTCAGGTGAGGTGGAGTCGTTCTGCGCTGACCTGAGCGGGCGGCTGCACATCAACAATGCACTCCGCATGAGTGTAGACAAGCTGCACGACCTGCTCTTCTCTGCTGACACCCACTTCATCCAGCACCTCTTCTCCCAGAGACACTTTACTGGTAGCTCTCACACACACACACACACACACACACTCACATATGATGGTATAAACTGCTTGTACACGAGTTTTCTCTTGGGTTACAACACTCCCATTGATTCTTAATGAAGACGTATACTTTTCTTTTTATTGGATCTTTGAAGCTATGCGTCAGAGATCACTCTGAGCTCTTCTCTCATGCTGTGAAACTGTGTTCAGCAAAATGATGTGGTGCACCATATATTTCAGCAACCAACACAGAACTTGCATTAACTTGTTTCATAACATTAAGCACAATAGAGCCAGTTTTTCCTGTTGACACAGCAACGGTTGGGGCCCGGTGTTTGTTTTTGTTCTGCTGCTTAATGGACTCGTCCGCCTCTTCTTCCTTCCACAATAGTTGCAGGAAAGTGTTTTCAAACATTAACACGGAGCGGTTTACTGCTCTGTAGGGGAATCTGTCCCGGACTAAATGCAATAATTCTTTTGGAAGTTTATGCTTGTTATTTGTTAGAGGGTTTACCTAAAATTGCTGCTTAATGGTCTTGTCCATTAAGCAGCAGCAGCAGATCACTTAAGTTTACATTTTTCTGCCATTAAACTCAGTTGCAGGTGCACTGCGAGTATCTTAGTTATGCAGTAAAGTAAGACAAATTCTCACGCAGATACCTCTACATCAGTTTTTAATGATGTTTCTTTCATTTAGAAAGTATTTTTATTGCTCTTCTGAAGCAGCTGTGCTACCCTGTCCAGCTGATGAATACAAATATAGTGAAGTACCACCCACCCCTCAAAGACATTGTGTACCCCACTCTATTGTGCCACTAATGAGGGTGCCACACTAGCTGTTCACGCCGTGTTAACCACCCTCCTTTGCCCCTCTGTTTCTTCATAACCGGTGTACGGCTGTTTTTTATTTTATTTGATAGACTGATAATTAAGTTCATCTCTGCATAGATGCCCTGTATACTTTGGATTTTTTCTGGAGTAGTTTAAATGAGGACAGAGGAGAAGCCGTGGAGTTGATTTGGCCGGGGCCTACTCCAGTTGGAACATTGTACAGCTCTAATTGGGGCATTTCTTTCTTTCTTTCTTTTTTTTATGAAGGAGTGTGGATTGACCCTCTGTTTTTTTTTTTTTCTCTCTCTTTCACTCTCTCCCTTCAACCCCTGTGATTCTCTTGGTCTCTCTCCTTTTCATTCATAAATTCTCTCCCTCTCTTGTCCTCTTATTTAAAAAAAAATCTTTTGTGTCTTGTTCTCTCTTGACTCGCTCATGTTCTCCATGTCTTTTCTCTCTCTCTCTCTCTCTCTCTCTTAGACCTATCGGTGGGTGAATGGCAGCATGACAGCAGCAGTGGGACTACCAGCCGTGTGCTTAGCTACACTATCGCCCTCAACAACCCCCTCGGCCCCAAGACTGCCCCTGTGGTGGAGACGCAGGTCAGTCCTTGACAAACACCAATCATTAGTCGGCCCTTTGGCACACAGGCTTTGCTAAAGGCAAAGTACTAAGACACAAACACTTAGCTTTAACTGGAGTTCCAGAAAATGGCATAATCACGACCTGAGCGTCTTGTGTGAAGGCTCCGCAAGTTGTCGCAGCACTTGATTATGCGCCTCTGACTTTTTGTAGCTTTGCGCGTGCAAAGCGCGTCAGAGCTTTTCAGACGTGATTGTCACAAATAGTTCACTGTTAACAGCACTGTTCACTTGTCTAGGGATTATACAAAGAATGTCAATTACCGGTAGTTTTGAATTGCCTCAGAAACAGGAGGTCTTAACTTGACAGTTAATTACAATTCCTACTCGGCAGTGTGGAGGTTAGTTTGTGGAGTTTTGCAGGTTACGTAGGACGACGAGACGTGAAAAGGCTTCAGCTTGGGGATAATGGCGCACATTTTCATGCAGTCTCCTGGCAGACGTTCATAGTGCTGCATTCGATTGTTCACATGAAAAGTGATGGAAACAGTTGTTTGAGAGAGAGAGAGCTTGAGACCACGCAGCTGGCTAATCATAGTGTGAAGTGGGTGTGAATGTCAGATTGCCACTTTGAGAGGGGAGCGTTGTGATGAAGCACGTTGGTGCCTTTACAGCAGCTAATTATCAGTCAAAGAAGCCATAACTAGCAGACACGTCGGAGGAAACCAATACGTTTGCGTTGCATTAACTGTGCACCTCCGCTTTTGTTTCCTGCTTCCAGACGTTGCATAAAAACAGCGCCAAGGGCGAATGCTTCGTGGTGGACTCGGAGGTGATCACCTCAGGCATCCCCTACCAGGACTACTTCTACACCGTCCACAGATACTGCCTCACCTCCATCAGCAAGCACAAGAGTCGGCTCAGGTATGTTTGTTCTCGTCTTATCATCGTGGGAGGGGATTTCTTTACTTTTTAGCTCACCCTCACCCAAAACAGGAGAGCCACAAGTGACAATCGCACTCGGCATTTCCTTTAAAGGCCAATTTTATGACCGCTCCTGTTACTGAAGTGTTGACACTTTGCTTATGTATGCTGGACTATAACATCTGTTGGCACAGTTCCTTTACTTTCTTTGTAAGTTTCATGATGAAAAACTTTCATCTTTAAATCCAAAGTTTCAAAGTTTTAGTTGAAGTAGTTTTTTATACAACTACTTCAACTAATGATTTTTACTCAACACGATAAAAGGAGTAACATCAGTGGGGTATGAAGTGAATAGGTTGAGAGGGAGATATATGAGGTAGTGTTCTGAAGAGCAACAAGAACACAAAGAACAACAAACACTGACCCACTGATGCCCTGCAGTATTGCAATATGTTTCATCACTTTTATTGCCGAGCCGCTTTTACTTTTCTCACTTCTGCGGACATTCTTCACCGTATTTAACTTGATGCCAGATCAGCTTATTTCCAGCACAAGGACAGTATGTCAGGATCGAAGCGCAAGGGCATCTTTCTGAGCATTTTGAACTGATGTTCAACAACCACAGAGGAAGAAACGGAGAAGTCAGACACAGACGTTCCTCCACTGAGAGTAGCATCAATGGACTATTATGCAATGTGGCTGGAAGACATGTTCTTTTTTTTTTTTATTTAAGGAAGGGCTTTGATTGTCTCGCTGTCTGCTTATCAGTAGCTGTTTCTTTCCCAATATTTTTTTCAGTTCTGCCTAATAAATCAACAAGCTACCATTGTAACACTAGTTACATACCCCCATCAAACTATTTGTGCTTAGGAAATCCTGTTCTTTGTCATCAACTGCTTTCCTTTGGATTGTTTTCCTTCATTCCTCTGTTAGTCTCCTACTTATAAACTACAGATTACTTTCTGTTTAGTTTTGTAAGAGTATCTTTTGAGTAGGTCAGGGTCATCAGTTGCAGGCAAATAAACAAAATGTTTCTTTTCGTGCTTAAAAACTCCAGCAGAAGATTATTCTGGCAAAAAACGCGTCAAGGACTCGACACAGTTCCATCGTTTTCTAAACTGACATTGGCGTGTTGTGCATATTTTCTGATTGCTTTCTTTGGAACGCAGAGGCATGATATCTTTTACTAATTAGTTTACTGAAGTGCTCGTGTAAAAAAACGTGGAATTGTCAGGGCGATTGAGCCGTTAAATGAAGATTGCATGAACTTGTGTCGACCACATGCACAAGTCGCCGGTTGTTGACAGGCGCCCTGTTTAAATGGAAAATGTTTGATATCTTTAACATAGAACGGCTCTGATTTAGTGTCAGATATGTGAGTTTTTTTCTTTGTAAACACATGAGATTGGTCTATATACGTTTTAAACGAGGGTTGTTTGCTTTTCCTCTTTGCCCAGAGTTTCCTCAAACATCTGCTACAGGAAGCAGCCGTGGAGTCTGGTGAAAGCATTGATTGAAAAGAACACCTGGAGCGGCATTGAGGAGTACTACAGACACATGGGTGAGTCACATGCTCCGCCTCCTCCCGTTTAAATCTGTATACACACACACAGCTTGTGGAAACCACACCGACCCATTCAGGCTGACTTCCCTTTAGTAAACAACCGTGCAAAAGTAAAGTGAAACTCTGTAAGCAGGACACGCTTGACATGAAAGCCAAATGCACAGTTTCACGTTGCAGAGCGCGGATCATAAGCGCGCTACCTATTGGCCATTTGAGTGCGTCGTAGACTGAATATGTTCGTGTTGCCCGAATGAGAGTCTCTCCTCTCTTCTCTTTTCTACATAAATGGACAATGCGAGTTTTGGTATTGATAGCTTGCCCCCCTCCACTCAAATATGTGTTCTGCTTTTTGTTATATCTATACATATGCATACATTTTATGGAGATTTTAATGTGTTTTCACACAGAACTTTGCCGACGTAGCCACACATACATGAACTTATCTAAAATATTACTTAATTAAAGCAATGTCTGGTCAAAAAGGAAAATTTAAGAATGTCACCAAGTATTTAGTGTTAGTGGCAGCATTTTGCAATTGACAAGTTTTGACAGCCGGTATTATTGTCCCTCCACCTTACTTTCCTCTGTATTTGAATTTCTCCATCTTCCTACTTTGCAGAGAGTGAGGTGTGCAAGCTGGAGACGCTGCTGCAGACCGAGGTTTCCATTGTGACCACAGGCGACGCAGCGGGCGCGGACGCTGCTATGACTCCACCGGCCATGCGCCGCCGCAAACGCACCTGCTCTCGACGGCAGGGCGACAAGGAGAGAGAGAGGGAGGGAGGAGGAGGCATGGGCTCCGGAGACCGAGGAGACAGAGGAGTCGGAGAGGACAGGGACCGGAGAGAAGCCAGTAAGTCGGCCAGGATACAGTCGTTGAACAGCTTTGGGGATTTCAATCCTTGTCCACCAACGTTGATGCTCATGCGCTCAAAAACAAAACCGCTGAATCCATCTTCTGTGCATTACTGCACTCTGTTTGGAGCTGCATAACACTATCAGATGCAAAGATATGATATTCAGAAATATACATTGAAAAACACACTGATCACTGAAAACCTGTGTCCTGTTTTTTATTCTTTTAGGTGCTCACTATATTAAGCTGGGCGATCGTTCACGAGGAGGACCCAACAGTATATCCACCATCCTCCTCATCGTCAGCTTCATGTAAGTTGAAGTTTGTGCCGTTGAGGCCGTGAATAACAGCAGCCTCTCTGAATCCTCGGCTTCCCTCCTGGCTGTCGACTCGAGGTGGTTTCCAGCATGTTTTATGTCTTTACTGCACAGTGATCATGTTATTCATACGTCTTATTCACGAGCAATCTCGCACACAATGAGCTACTTATAATGGAGATGAGCGTTTCTAAATGGAGATTATTTTAAGCATTTTTGTATTAAAAAAAGGACTTTCTGAGTGTACTAAGTCAGTACAAAAGTGTATGTGTGTGTGTCCTCGCATGTGGTTCATCTCCTTAGTAGTACTGTACATCCTTTGCCCCCCGGGGTTCCTACCTGATCAAATCTCCGGTTTGATTGTAAATGTCTGACTATATTGACTTTTACGCTGTCTTGGTTCAATACGCGTCTGAATGCTCCCTCATTCAGACACATTGGATATCGATCTTCTGCATACTAACTGCCTCACAATGCCTTTCTTGCTATTTTTCTTCTTTTTCCTTCCTTTCTGCGATTCCTTTTTGTGAATAGGATCTGTATCAGGTTCGTATGAGAGGCTTTGCTTTTACGCCACTGGCTGCATAAATGAGGACTATGTGAATGACGCGGGAAAAATCCACCCTTTGACACTCTGAACATGAAGCAAAACCTTGTTTCACAAGAGTTTTTAAGTCTGCATTTGTTTGCCACAAACATCCAAGGGACTAACAACACGCACCAACTCGTGTTGGAAGGCTTGTTTTCAGACGAGGGTTCAACATGGACATAGAGAGACCGACAGCAGAGCAGGACCAGGATCACACCCTTTACTCAACACACACCACTGTCTGGTCTCCAGTAGCAATTGGTCTATTTAACTGAAACTATTACATCATGACATCTACATTTGAGCAGATACAAACATGAAACCAAAATACAATTCTGCCGAGGAATGCAACATATACAGTAATAACACTGACGTTTGTGTCGGGATGGAATTTTCCTGTAATAAGATGACATTGTGTTGTGAATAAGTGCTGGGTTGTGGTTGAATTGAAATGTTTGCGTGCTCATTTTGTGTCGGCAGTATTTGGCATTTTGCCGTTGATTTCTCACTGATGTTGTCTTCATGTTTCACAGCAGTCGGTGAACTATAAGATTGTCTTCTCTCTCTCTGTCCCCGTCAGTCTGGTGGTGCTGGTGGCTCTCAACATGCTGCTCTTCTACAAGCTGTACGCTCTGGAAAGAGCGGCCCATACACTGGAGACATGGCACTCCTACTCTGTTGCTGACAGGTGAACACACGGACATAGACTCTCTGTTGCTCTGTTAACGGGCGTATGGAGTTATTCTTGTGGGATCTGAGGTGTGAGATATCCCTCAGTGTTATTGCATAGCAACAAACCCTCTCTTGCCTTTTTGTAAGGTAAACAGATGAACGGCTAATTCATATTTTAACAATAGATGATATGTGAAAGGTCTCACTTCTAATGATGAATCCTCAAAGAGTTATCACCCGACTCTACGCAGCGTTTTCACGTCTTTAAGCTACATTTTTCAGTTTGCACCAGTTTTGGTTCCCTCACTGCTCTCGTCAGGTTGTTTTTTTGGCTTTCTGAAGGCAGAAAAAAGGCAGAAAAAAACCCCACTGTTACATGTTTGGTGCCAAATATCAGAAAAAACAAAGCTGGTGAACAATGTGGAGCATTTAGCAGCTGAAGAACAGAGCCAAAAGTAAAAAACAAACCTGGTATTTCTGGTAAAAGAGCCATGACTACACTACTGACTCCCTTGCCTCTTCCTTTCTCCTGTCTTCTTGTTTTCCTCTCCTTGTCTCCTCAGTCCTTTACCCCAGACAGCTGGAGAGTGGGCTCAGGTCTTACAGCTTCAGAGGCAGTTTCACCAGGCTCAGCTCAGCAAGTGGCAACAGATCCTGCAGTCCTCCGTCACCCTTCTGGACCAGGTGTGTGTGTGTGTGTGTGTGTGTGTGTCTTGTGTAAATGCCGCTGTCACTGCATTATTTAATCCAGTATATCTCACCCAACGGCTCTCTCCCCCCCCCCCATGTTTATCTCCCAGATGAAGCAGTCTTTAGAAAAGCTCCACCGAGGCATCGTGGTCCCAGAGGTGCAGCGGGATCCCCCCGATGATGATGATACCCCGTCAGAGTCCCCGACTGGGGCCTGAGCCCCCCCCTCCCACCTGACTGTCTCCCACTTCTGAACACACCCTGGTGGACTGGTAGAGTTGAAAAGAGAGGCAGGTCGACTTGGAGCGGCACACAGTTTGCTCTTTCCCTCATTTCCAAATCGAAGAAAGACTTTACCCACAATGCTCCTCGCCTGACTGACTTGAAAATGGTGACGTTCGCCCTTCAGCCAGAACCAGTGAACTCCTTCAGACTGGAAGCTATCAGGACCACAGCAATAATGTACGTACAGCTGCAAGTCACCTGTATGTAGTGAATGGAAACAGGCCACTGGTGGGCCGATGCAGACCATCCACTCCTCAAGAGACATTTCAAAATGGCCACCACCCCCCCACCACACACATTTTATGACTATCACAGACTCCAGTTCCTCTTCTGACATGCAACATTTCACAGGGATCAGTGATTCTGGAAAGTGGGAGGTCCTCCTCCCAGTCCTGGGAACCGTTCGATAACTTTCGCCTCTATAGTGAACGCCTGCTGAGAGGGGGGGAGTGCTGGAGGGAGCCGGACGCCTCTCTCGCTCTTTACGTCGGTGAGCCCCATCAAAGGCTGCCAATCCTCCGCGAAGTGGGGATGAGAAACATTTCAACACCAGACACTTTATTTTTTCAGCTTTATTTTTTGATGTATTCTACATCTGAAGATGAATCTCAAAACACCACCCCACTCCTCTCGTGGGGTTTTAAGTTTTTTTTTTTTTTTTTTTTTTTTTTTTTTTTTTTTTTTTTTTTTTTTCTTTTTTTTTTTTTTTTCTCAAATCGGTGTGTTGGGTTGTTAGTGAGGACAACAAGCTGCGTCTGACTGGACCGACAGTATTTATTATTAGCAATGACTTCTGATCTGAAGTCCTCGTCCTGCTCTTAAGAAGTCATTGGGTGGATACTTTGTGCTCCGATTTTGCTGTTACAGTACGGACCAAGAGGAGCTACAACCATTACTGATCACAGCAATAATGACAATAGTGATGCTAGTACTTTTTGAATGTTTCAAACAAAGTAGTATATAATAATAATAATGACAAATTGTGTGTGAATGTGTGTAGAGGCAGGAAACGACAACAACAAGCGGAGAAGGTTTTGACTTGACTGATGTGTGCGTGTGGTCATGAGGAGTCTTCAGTGTTTCAGATGTTACATTTTCATATTGGCGTTTCTTGAGTTTCAGATTTCTCTTTCGCGTTTGGTCACTCACTCTTTCTGTCGGAGAGCTAGACATTATCAGTCGACTTGAACGGGTGGAAGCCCGAGCAGTCGGCTGCTTCGTTGTCCCACTGGGCCGGACGCTTCGAAGCAAAAAGGACCAACCAGAATTCTGTTGGGCCCAGGTGAAGACAAAAGGGAATCCGTTTTGCAGTATTGTGTTTTGTTTTTTTTGTGCGTTTGTTTGTAAGATTAATTTGACTCGCCTCGTCTTTTATTTTTATTTGATTCATTTTCTATCTTTGTTATTTTGTCGTTTATTTTCAGCTTGTCCTCTCCGTCCACTCGATCCTCCAGATGTGAAAACATCTCACCCATCTGTACTCTTTACTCTTCTTCTAATCACTGAACCCCACTGGTCCTCTCTGTGCTCTTCCTCTTCACCCACTCTCACTCTCTCTTTCTCACTCTCTCTCCCTCTGTTTCACTGAAAATAGCGGCTACAGAAGCATGTGGGCCACGCTGTGCATGGCCATTGCGGGTAACAAAATGGTGTAATATTTATTAGGGGAGGGGGGGGGGGTGTCGGGTAGATTATGGGAGAGAGAGAGAGAGAGAGAGAGAGATGGATGAGAGGTGGGATGATAATGTACTGTAAAGATTTGATTGCACACCACTCCATGGAGAACAATGAAAAGTTCTAAAACATAAAACGACTCCTCGCTCATCTTTGAGTCTGTTTGTGTCTTTACCTCCAAAAGATGTGGGTCGATTTATCCGACCAAAATAGATCTGTGAATATAATGTCCATCACAATATCCCAAAGCCCAATTTTAAATAGCCTGTTTTGTCCATCTTACAGTTTCATATCGAAGAAGAGGAAGAACAACAAAGCTGGAACTGGTGAGATTTATTTCTCAGGTAATCTTATAATTTATAACCACTTTAAATCCGTGAATCTTCTGCGGAAATGTCAAGTTAAGGAATCAATCCTCACACTTGAGATGCTGGAACCAGCAAATATTCGACATCTTTTGCTTGATAAATGACTTAAACAACTATTAAATGACCGTTAACCAATCATTGATTGATTAAATGATTGATTGATTAGTGGAAAGGCAAAAGCAAATTAACAGAATAATTGTTTCTAGTTTAGACATTTTGCTGTTAAATCTTGATTGAAATTGCAGAAAACGGTGAAGTTTTTAACAAAAATAAAGGTCATTTTGTTTTTGAGAAATAAGTTTGCAACTCAAAAAGGAAGTTCGTGTTAAATGGGTAAAAACAATGTAACATGTTTCATAGAAATGAACTTTAAGTGTGAACTGAAGATGCATCCGGCTGAAAGTCCCGACGCCTACACAGTCACCATTTATTTCAGAACAGATTCAAGTGAGACGCGGCTTTTCTTTTTCACAAGAACTTTATTTTCTTCTTCTGTGTTTCACTTATTATTGTGGCAAGCAGCATTTTCACACCTGCACATGAAGTGAAAACAGCAGTTTTAATTTGTTGCTGAAAGAAAACGCGTGAACACGAAGCAGACCAGCAGTGTGGTTTACATTTCACAGGTTGGTTCATCTATGTAGGAAATGAAGATGTCAGCAGATGCAGCATTTCCCAAAAAGTAAATCACTCAGTAAGCACAGAAATCACTGGGCTGTTTGTTTTGTGGGTCCTTATGGGTTAAGCTTGTAGTCATTGGACATTCTGTTTGTACGGTACTCTTCTTCTTCCATCAGTAAGCATGCAGTTAGTCGATATCTCAAAAATGTATGAAACTCAGTTTTGGTGCAGAAGAGCTGATCAGTGAACATGTAGAGCGGCAGTGTTTGGCTGCCATCTAGTGTTCACCGGTAGTCGATGTCTGGTCTTCTGGAGAGAGAAGCAAGTTGCCCTCCAGCTGTTTTTACAAACACTATAGATTCATAACAAGGCTTCACCTCGTTCCCTTTTTTGGTTTCCACTGGCTTCATTCAGCCAGGGAGGCACACGGGACTGGTTTTGTGGTACGTTTGCCCACGGCAGTTAGATACGTAGCAATTTGCAGAGCCTTTCATTTTCTACGAAAACACTTGAGACGTGTGTGAAATTACACATCCGTGGGAACGTTTCCACTGTAGACAAATTCAGTTTAAAGTGACACTTCTGTATCGCTGAGGATAAATTGGTAAAGCTGATTTTTTTTTTTTTTTTTTGGTTTGTTTGCTTTGCTACAGATTTAGTATTATCCAATGACGTGGGCATCGTCACAGGAAATCATTCTTTGGCTTCAGGTGCCATTTTTGCTCCTCACACCATTCTGTGTTAATTAATTCAAAGGGATTACCACTGAAATGTAGCTTTTTGCCCCAAAATCAATACGTTCTATCATAATATGGCTGATTCCGTCATCTTGAGCTCTCTGGAATGTAGGGAAACACTAAAAACATCACTGTGTTGATCTCATCTCCAATATGAAATATTAAAAACATGACTGGGTATGTTTTTCTAATAAATTCAACCTAGAATTTACAGCATGTTCCTTTATTTGAGAGCTAATAACTCAAACTCTAATAAGAAGAGAATAGTACTTTTTATCAAACACCCTCCAGAGAAAGATTAAGCAGACTTAACATTTAATACAGACCACATTTCTCTTGGTTAGCAGAGTGTGTGAACCCTCACATTCCCGTTTCCTTGTGTTTAAGTGACTGAATGCAACGGCTTTAACTTGACGTGTGACAATCGGGACTCGTTGCTCTTCACAACTGCTCCAAAGGAGGCAGTTTCTCTCACATTCTAATACCTGCTTAAATGAAATCTGTGTGTTAAGAATGCCTTTAGAAAAAAAATAAAAGGTTGAACCGTTGATATTGGTTTCCCAATCGCCTAATTAAAATGTCAGTGTCCTTAAGGTTTAGATATTGGTCTGTTTTTAAATAATAAATCTGGTCAAAGTGAAACATTTAATAACAGCTGTCGCAGCAGTGTTTCCTCTGTACCTTCTAGTAGTGTTACATCATTACAGCAGCAACATTTGCAGTCAAATATAGTTGTACTAGTATTTAACAGTATAAGAAAAAACAATGAAATATGACAAAACTGATTAACAACTGTTAAAAACATGACAGAACTTCAGATGCATGATGTTGGTTGTTATGCATAGCTCATAAGCATGCAGATAGTGTATATAAATGTATAGGCCTATAATATTTATGTAGGATTATCTTTGCATACGTATACACCGATATATAGTTCAACCCAGTCCCTCTCCCGTTGGACCACAACCTGATGCTCCCTCCTGTCCCTCAAAACAGGATTTAGAAACGGTATACAGTTCAGGTCTTTCCATCCTTTGCAGAAGTTACTTTAAAAAAAAACCTTTTCTATCGAGAAAAGATTTTTCTCCCCTCTGTGGTTTTTCCATCTTGTGAAGAGAATGGTGGGATGTGAGAGGAGAGGGAATGAATGAGGGTATTTGAAAATACTCAAGGACTCCATCTTGAATTCTTCCTCGACCTGAAGCAAGAAAAAGGAAAATGAAACTGTCAGAAATATGAGTTATGTAAAAGACTAACGTAACATGCAGTAACGCCTTCAATCAGGCCTTCATTTTCCTGAGAGATCGCTCCCGGTGGCATAAAGCGAGGTTTAAAGGGAACCCATCCAAACGCTGATGGTGTCTTTGTTTTATGGCAATTACATCGTGCAATCACCATTAACTTATAATCATAATAAAACAATGATTATAGAAAAAAACGTGGTGCCACTTTAAATAAATTCTAGTGTGCGCTAAATTAATTAATTGAATCTGTTTGTCCTGCACCTACAGTATAAAGGATTGGATGAGCTCTACCTATTGAATGGCTCAAACTTTAGTAAAATAATTTGGTTATTTTGTTGTAAGTCGGACATTTTGAAGATCCAAACGTTGAATATAGCACGTTGGCTAACCAGAGATACGTGTACGCCAAAGAACCTGAGCTACAATCTGTATACAATATTCTGATACAAGAACATTATATTCTAAGAAATTCCTCTTCTTTTTTTTTTTTTTAAACTTTCAACCCAGTAGTGGTGTTAACAACACAACAGGTGTAAACACAATGTATGATCGCCCACTTTGGAAAATAAACGAGAGCACAAGAAGCATCTGTATCCAGACATTAAGTTTAGTGAGAATCCAGACCTACCGGTGCTATTCTGCCTCTTGTACAGCTGCACAATTATCTTTACTTTCTGATGCTATAGCTAAATACTCCGCCCTGAAGGAAAGAAAGTGGTGGAAAGGAAGAACAGGCAGACACAAGATCAGACAATCAGAATAAGACTTCAGTTCAGTCAGGGGAAAAAAAGGAACATGTTTGTTATTTTTGAAAAGAGCAGATTGAAAGAGATTGTGTGTCTCTGCTTCCCACTCAGTGTCAGGAAGGGGAAAACAAAGGTGAAAGCGGTTGGTGGGAAGTCGGCCCAGCAGGTTCTGGAAATGGAGGACTGGCACCGTGAGAGAGGCTGGCTGTGTTTGTGTTTGAGTGTCTCATGGGTTACTCACGCGCTCTCTCTCAGAGCCTCCTCTCCTGCCGCTGATATCTTCCTGTAGCAGTAAATCATCTCGATCGCGAGCCACACCTGCAGCCCGATGATGGTAACATACATCATCACCTCAGACAAAATGGATGCCAGTCCCCTGGTGACTAGAGAGACGGGGAGGGAGATACGGTAAGAAATACTCTACCTGTGTGCTTAATTGAAAGGGGTTTACATACATTTTTGCCATGAAAAAGACGAGGGCTGCCCAGGCTGTTCATCTTTTTTGAACAATATATGTCATAAGTCATCATTTATCAGAATCTTGCTGCAGATAGCCTGCTTTAATCAAATTGTTTTGACCACACGGGGCCAGCACAAAAACCCTAAACGCAACATTTACATAATATCAAACGGCTGCTTTTATACTCATCCAGATGCTATGGAGCAACAATATAATTCATTTGGACTCCTGTTCCTGTCCATGCAGAGAATCTAAGTCCGATGAAACCCATAAGGTTTGGTCTACCATCTCCGGAGAGAAATATTTGGCTCTTGAGCTGCTAAATGTTCCGCTATGTTTACAAGCTAGTGTATCAGTGGGTTGAGAATCAGGCAGTGAGAGTGTTATCTCCTTGAACAGCTGGCTAGACAGACAGTAGGACAGCATCCCTCCTCTCTTACGTTTTGGCACCACTTTCATGTGGATTATCTTGGTGGCGTTGGCTGGATGTTCGAAGTTGGAATACTCGAGGATGCGGGTGAATATGCACTTGTAGGTTCCAGTGTCATTGAACGTCACATTGAGGATGTAGATGGAGCCTTCCTGTAGGTCATTGGTCTTCTTGCTGCCGTTCCAGGCCAGACGACCCTCGAAACGTGGGTCGTTGGTGTCGCCCCTTTTATTGTCATAGCTGTATATCTGGAAGAGAATTGCAAGTATGGGATTTCTTTAAAAAGGAGGCCGGGAACAAAATAGAGACTGAACATTTGTAATCCATTTGTTACGAATACTGTTAGCTTTGCATAGAAGCAAGTGTTTAGGCTGATAAATGTGTTTTTACATGCAGCCACAGCTCATTTCAGTATGCAGTGAAAATGAACTTTCAGATACTATACATGCAATATGTCAGCAATACTCTGTATTTTTGTTACTGTCAACAGTGTTGGTCCATCTCTCAATACAACTACTAAACTCTCAGCCCATTGGTTCCTAAGAGGATATAAATCTTAAAAAAACAAACAAATCGCTCAGTGATTTCTTCAAACAGCTGGGCACTGCCACTTCAGCAAACAGAAACACATCTATTTCACAATGTTCACACATCTAGTGTGACTTTCCACCTGTTTTTGGATCTGACTAATACTCTTTGGCTTGCGGTCCCATTTATTTACCTGTGTCAACAAATTAAACTACAACAGCGAGCTGCTGTTTTCTCCTGGATGCTGGCAGGTGTAAAACAAACTGTGTTGATGAATGAATATTCATAACCCGCCTGTCAAGTTTGATTTTCACTTTTCCTGTCATCCTTGAGCAAACAGACAGCTGGTCTCCACATCACCGCTGCTGCTGTTTTCCCGTATCGACCGAGCCGCATTTGTGGCCTCACCTCTGCACTTCCTGGTGTATTAGTTGAAACACATTCTAAAAGGCAGCTGAAGGCTAATGGGATCTCTCCTGCTCCAGGAATGTACCATTATGGCCTCTTTGCTTTGCCTGGGGAGGGCTGCTTAGTTCAGCAAGAGGCGCTTTCTTCCAGTCAACACACGGCGGAAAAGGCCTGTCATAAAAAATGCAAGACCCTGCTCTCTCTCTCTCTCTCTCTCTCTCTCTCTCTCTCTAAATGCATTGCAGCCGTTTCCCAGAAAATAAATGAAATAATTGTGATGATGTCACCCAACGGTTTGTGGACTACGGTTTTGAAGTCGAGTTAGTTATTTTGGCTGACGCCATCTTGGTTTTTGGCTGTCGCCATCTCAACCAGAAGTGACGTGAGCGGATGGAGCAAAGTACAAACTAGTGGAATAAGACATTTGTAGGTGACCAAAATTAACTTTCATGAACTGAGAGCACACTGTGAAAGGGTTAAACGAAAACACCAAGAACTCCTAGACCCGACAGGGCCGTGGTAGCGATCTGTCAATTACAAGGTAGCCACTCCCTGAATCATACGCTGCTTTATGGTCAATTTTTTGTAGACTTCCATACAATCAGACTTCTTTTTTCAACCAGAGGAGTCGCCCCCTGCTGGCGATTAGAAAGAATGCATCGGCTTCACTTTTCAGACCCGGAGGTTGCCGCCTATGTTTACCATACAAACGTATTTGAGTGATATCAATCTTCTCATCTAGCTTTCTGCAAGAAGGGAAATGCATTTCCCAACACGTGGAGCTATTCCTTTAGGTCGTTACTGAGGAATACTTTTTTTCAAAGCCTGCCTTGTGGTATTATCTTATAACCACTCACAGGGCTTTCCTCTGTCTCATCTGAGGCCATGAAGAACCAATCGACGGAGGCCGTGGCTTTCACCTCGCCCCTTTTCTTACAGGAGATGCAGCCCAGTTTGAAGCCTTCGTTGACCACGGCCTCTGTGTTTGAGTCCACCTCCACGCAGGCTCCACGGCACAGAGACGCTACAGAGTGAAAGGATGAAGAACACACAGTTAGAAACCTGCTCTATCACTTTATTGCTCTTTGCAGGTCACAGGGTTTAGAGGTAAGAGCCCTGGGTGGCCATCATCCTCTTTTTCTTGTACCCGTGACTCTGGGAAGAGGTTGATACACGGGCAGAGCTCTGGTGTTTTCCAGTATCTTAGTACTTGCAGGCAAACTGTTTAAACAGTACTTTACAAAACAATTTTAGCTCCTGTAACTTTTGTATTTTTGCGTGCTTGCTCCCAATGCTAATTGCATGTGAGATTTTTTTCTTTTGTTTTCTTGCATTCTTTTTTATTTCCTCTCATCCTCTCAGTACATGCATTGTTGTGAATTTGATTGATTTGTTTTTTTTAGTCATTTACATTTGAGGTGTTTTTTAAGCGGTGAAACTGAGGGGAAATAAAGAGGTTGCAGTATGCGGGACTAGTTTATTGCATTCTGTCAATTGGTGAATGAGCTAAATTCATATATAGAAGCGTGAGTCTATATATGCCATCATCATCATGACACATACTTCTCATCGGCCGGGAGTTACACACCTGTAACTCCAAATGTTTCTTTCTCACTCTGCACCTTGCAGTTTCCACTGAGGCCTCAGCATGGCGCTCAACCAATGATCTCGTATTATTGTCAACTTTGACTTCTGGGGATGCGTTTGTTTCGAATCGCAAGATGGGGGGGAGGGGGGGGAATGAGGGAGAGGACAGGAAACACAACGCTGATCAGATGAACTCAAATCATTAAAAGTTTGGTTGGGATTGACAGAGGCTGCACATCATCCATGGCCTCACGTACACAAATATATAAAACAAAGGTCTATCTTTTACTCCCTCGGATACAAATATTGCAGCACCAAGGTGAAACTTTAAAATGAATCACAGACGTAGAATTGCCACCACACTGCAGAAATACATGGAGGGGAGGAATATGGGGGCGGGGGGGGTGAAGAGAAAGTTAGTACAGGCTTCAAAGGTAACATCCATTTCTACTAAAGCACGGGGGGAGATGGGGAAGCAGGAGGGAAGAAGCCTAATGTCGGCTGATGCACTGCAGAGAGAGAAGGGGAGAAAAAAAAGGGAAGGAATGGGAGAGAAAGTTAAGAACATAATAGAATCACAGGCCGCATAATAGAAACCCAAACTATCGTATTCAAACAAGAGACGGACCAGTAGCTTTAGAAACACAGACCCGAACCCAGCTGGACCCGAGAACGACTAAACCCGACTGATTTAATTCCAGATTCAGTGATCTTAATGGACCTAAACAGAGGTTAAACACTATATTAGATATTTAGCTAGATATATTTAGCTAATCTATAGTATAGAATTGAGTATTTATAGTACATATTTAGAGATTATTTTAAATCCAAGACAAAACTGACAGAAGGCTGGGACTGAGAGAAAAAAGCGCAATTACAAATCTGCCTGCTACTTCAGCACCATGGACAGCGCCGTGGATATATCAATACACAGCTCAGTTACACCAACATCAGTCAGATAAAGGATCAATGAGTCAGGCAGACTCGACCAACATATTTGACAAAACAAACCCTCTGCCCCTGCACTCTCTGCTGCTATTGGATAAAGAGGGTGGATGGCAGGTTTTCCCGTTTCCCCTCAAACATAAAACACCGCAAACTGGTGTTTATGTACCTTTGGGTGGAGAATCACTGTCTACATGTCCGGGAGCTTGTGTTTCAGATTTGGTCGTTGCTTTCCCAGATCTTTGCGCTTACTTTGATGAGTGCACAGCTATAATCCATGAAAGAAATTATGGCAACAATTATAAAAATGGACCAAAGTTGTAATAAGACAGAATTTGCCTTTTATTTGCATAGAGCTGAGGCCCACCACAACAACTCAGGTGAGGAAAACTTACATGTCTGAACCTACAAAACAGGGTTCGGTTAAGGCTGGGGTCTTGGGTTTTCAGGTTTTCTGGGAGGCGGGTCTGCTGAGGAACTGGATTATAACAAACAGACCTGAGTCAAACAGCATTTGCTGATAACTACTCAGAGAACAGGTGCACTTATTCACAACTAAAAAAAACTACAATTTCTACTTTTTTTCAGTTTAATCTCTGCTCTAATTAGCTTTCTTGTCTGTTGCAAAAGTGGCTTGATTGTTTGTGTTAACTACAGGCTGCTGTAATATGCACCAGCTGTCAGTGCTGCAGGAAAGCATTTGTAAATCAACCGATAGACATTTGCCAATAGACACCACCAAATCTTTGGGTTATCATTAATATGCAGCGATATTTTGACTCAAGTCTGTGAGCTATTAGCTTCTACCATGTAGAAAAGACATGAAGGAAGAGACAGAAAGGCAAAGGGACAGACACAAGGGCAAGACATGCAGAGGAACACAAAAGGGTTTTAGATGGCTGGCATATTGACTGCTCTGAGAAAAGGAGGTGAGACCGGGAACACAGACAGAGGAGACACATTACCAATGACACACAGCGGGACATAAATTAAAAGGATGCCTGAAGACAGAGGAGAGACCTTCATTTTTGCAGGACAGACAGAATGAACACGGACAGAGATGGATGAAAATGTAGCAGGGACGGCAGCGACACACAAGACGGTGTGAGGCGGTAATCCTGAGGGAGGTTGGTGACGCAGCAGAGGCGAGATTGTGCATGGTGGGCAGGGATGCTGCTGACTGTCCGAGGCTGAGATAACAAGTTAAGAAGACAGCGAAAAGACACTGCGCCAGAGAGAGAGAGAGAGAGAGAGAGAGAGAGAGAGAGAGAGAGAGAGAGAGAGAGAGAGAGAGAGAGAGAGAGAGAGAGAGAGAGAGAGAGAGAGAGAGACAAAGATGCAAGCAGACACAAAAGGAACTGCACATCCAAAGTGCAGACTAAACAGAGTCAGAGGCACCAAACCGCCTCAGCAACAGCAGGACACTCGGAGCATCAAAAAAAGCAAATCCATTGCATAATCTGTGGACTGAGGTTCAGGATTATGCAACAGATATTCCAGAAAGTGCAGATTAGGAGGGTTTTTTTTTCCCCCTGACAGGGGGGCTGGCAGCCTAATCCCTCAGATCATATCAGTTGCTGAGGCCTACAAAGCAAAAAAAGAAAAAGAAAAACCCGACCTAACGCTTTAGCTGCACAAAGGACCATCCACCCACTGAAGTTAGCTAGCTTAGCATGTTGCTGGGAGCTAAAGGAAATGCAAAAAGGATCAAGGCTATTTGCTGAACTGGCTATAAGAGAGAGAGCGGGAGAGAGAGAGAGAAATTGGATAAGTGACAGCGAAAGAGATGAGGGAGGACAACATCTGTTTCCGTGGCTGGATTAAAACACACGCATATACTGTAGGAACACATAACCTGGGGAATTGCCAAGCATCCATGACATATCCCTTGACACCAATCGAGCGACAGACTTTCCACTGGAACAAGTAGACCATTGAAGCACACTGCTCTGAGAGCGTCACTTTCATTTCACTTCACAAAGCTGTCATATTGTGATGGCACACTGGTTTATCAGTATAGAACAAAGCTCGAGGGATCGCAGCCTGGCCTTTCTCTCTTCGTATGATTTCACAGAACGGCTGCTCCATTGGTTCAAGAGCACTAAATCAAGACATCCAACATGTGATTTACAGACAAAAAAGACACAAAAATGTGGATAACAGCAAATACATTTTGAGAGAAACAAAATACCCCCCAAATGTACAATCCTCTGTAACTACTGTGCGATGTTTTGATGTAGTTTCAGATCTCTGCTGTCTAGTTTCCTGTTGATCTCACTTCATTCCTTTCTGTATAAGCTCTGTTCTCTGCAATGTCTGCACAAAGGCTCTTAGTACTGCATCTCCAATGACATTTTGTTCTGTAAGATAGATCTGAATCTGTTTTGAAGAATTGAACTCAAGGCGCCCATTCATTCTTTTCTCAAGAAATCCTCGGCTCCGTCGTCTATTCAACGTGTTGAATGATGTATAAAGACCCCTGAGAAAAAACTCATTTTGAGAAAACGACTTTTGAAGATACGTAGTGTAAAAGACACTCCAGGTGAATAGGGTAACAACTTTAACTAAAAGATATCACAATGAAACTTCTCCAGTTGATTACTTACATTAAGACAGTTATTGTTTGTATTGCAAGTCTGAAATGTTATGTTTAAACATGCAAATGAGGCATTATCTAATGCAAATGTTTGGTGAATTTAGGAGAAATCTACAGACGCAAATAGACAAAAATAGTAAAATAAACTCCTAAATGTGTATTTTGGATGTTTTCTTTCCACTAGTCTGAAAGAAGACATGTTATCAAGCTAAAGTACAGACCATGAATCAGATTTAACAGGATTTATTTTGCCCCGAGGACCTTCTGCAGTGCAGCACTTGAGTAGTCCTAATCAGTTTATGTTCCAACCCTGCCACTGAAAATGATGATGCGCTTCTCCGTAATGTTATTACCAATCTGTGCAGACGCAATGGTTGAAGTGGAGCGATGGAATGGACGTGAATCCATATGACTCGGGGGTGGAGAAGATGGTCGTTCAAACATCCTGTTGACAGAGATCTCCTTTGACCATAAGTCCGTGCACGGAGCCATTTGCAGACTAATTGGCTCCGTGCTGCATTAGAGTCTCTCTGCAGCATGCATTAGGTAAAGTTGCCATCGGATACATTAGGTTTTATGGGCCTCTGGCTTGAAAGAGAGGACACATGACGCCGTCATTTGACTGTTTATGCTTGTGAATGATCGTGTTGTTACTTTTTTTGGCACTTTGAGCATCACAAAAAATAAAGTTTACTGTATAAGTGAAATCTAAGTCTGTTTTATGTATTTTGGGATGAGCCATCGCTTGATTCCTCCTATTTCTCATAGTTTGTTTGCTTTGCACCCGTCACCAATCTCAATTCAGACAGAGATGACGCGATAGAGCGTCGTTGGAGCTTAGGATCATCCTAATTATTATTTAACTGTTGTTTGTGCGCTTTCTTTTCTTGTAGATTCACTATCTTCCAGAAACAAATGCTCATGTAAAAGTAAAAAAGAGAACAAGCTGCTATTTTTTTTCATTCAATCTGTTCCTTTCTTCTTTGTTTTGGGAGATTCCATCCAATTTCCTGTCTGGTCTTATATTCTCATCCTCCCTGCGTCTGGCTCCAGATGTGCTCACTCACTTCAGTCCTTAACTAACCCGCCGACTCCTCAACCAAACTGTCTGTTTCTGTCAATCCAGGTTTATGTAACCTTCTTACTTTTTGCCAAGCTTCACTTCTCCGCTCTGCTCCCTGGCTTAACTCTCTGCCGCCCCGGCCTGCTTGTTTCAACCTGCTATCCTGGATAAACTGCCACATTGTGTAAAGGAATAACAACATAACTTTAACTGTTATGTTTCTTGAGATTATGAAGCTGTGTTGGCTCGTGCATGTGTGGTTTGTAGTATTGTCATCAGTGACAGAGCGTGAGCCAAAGAGCAGCTGGCTGACAGTGATAAGTGCTCAGTAAAGCTCTCTTTCAATGCATCGCTTCCTTTTTGTACTCAATTTTAAATCTCAGTGCTTAAAATAAGATCATCCGTGACGACAACATGCCAACTAAAAAAAGCTTTCGGCATGCACACGTGTGCTTTTTTAGTGAAATTAAACACGTGAAATATATATATAATAATGGTTGTAACCCATTTCATAACATCTACATCTTTACATTGCTTGCCAATGCATTGATCATTTTAAATGTATTAATGTTTTAATACAAACCATAAATGAAGAGAAATGGCTGTGTCTTAAATTTCCAAAGACGGGCTTGTTAAATATTATTAGACTAACAGTAATTTAAATATGATTATGTAGCTCAGGCTATTTTCATCTCAGTGGAAGCTGTGTGTGTGTGTGTGTGTGTGTGTGTGTGTGTGTGTGTGTGTGTGTTTGTTGTAAATTATTATTATAAATGCCTGTAAATGGCTCAAAGGTGGGAAATTGAAGCTGAACTTTCCGATATGTTATTTATCAAATCAGATGAAAAACAAAGTACCATAACGGGAACATTTGCAAGAAACGATTAGTCAATTAATCAATTAGTCAAGCTACAGAGAATTGATCAGCAAATATTCTCATAATTGTTTAAGACGTTTTTCAAGCAAAGACACCAAACATTCTTTGATTTCAGCTTCTCCAATGTGAGAATGTGCTGCTTTTCATCTATTTCGTATCACTCTTAAGTGAATATCTTTGGACTGTTGTTCGGATGCACTTAGCAAGTCGTGGCAGGCATTTTCTCACCACTTTATATCACATTATAAATCCATTATAGAGACGACTATTCGAGAAAAACACTTACTTTCAATAATTGATAATGAAAATAATTTTGGTTGCAGCCCTAAACTGTGAACGTCATAACGCCCCAGTGTAACACGGAGGGAGAAATGTATGTTCTAGACTTTTGAATACACAACGACGGCTGTGTGTGTGCGTGTGTGTGTGTGTGTGTGTGTGTGTGTGTGTGTGTGTGTGTGTGTGTGTGTGTGTGTGTGTGTGTGTTCAACAAGCCCTCATCTCATTACTCTACAAAGAAAAACTGAACAGCTGGGCTTTTAGCACTTAAACCAGCCCAATGATCAACCCCCCTCCATGATGACATACAAACAGAGCCAACGGTGCAACATCAGACAACAGGAAACACCTCAACAACAGTAACAAACTGCACAGTCAGTGAATGCGATGGAGGCACAGTTGGGGGGGGGGGGGGGGGGGGGGGGGGGTGTTGGCTCACGTGTATACCAAGGTGCGGCCGTCGCGGCACAACGCAACCGTTACCCACTCACCTTGAAGCGCCAGGAGGGCCAGAGGCAGCAGCAGCAGCTCTTGGACTGCAGACATCCTGACAGGAGAACGGAGACTGCTGGTGGTTCTCAACGGTGTCAAAACACACACACACACACTTCAGAAAGGGAGACACAAGACAGATCTTTACAGCAGCTATTCCAGCTTGGTGGTCAAAACCTCTACGACGCCAAACGATTACAAGTCTGGGAGAGGAGGAGACTCTTTTCGGAAGCTGTTGGGACTCTGGGTGTGGTCCACCCGGGTGTCGTCTTCTTCTTCTCCTCCTTTTTTTTCAGCTCATACAAGGGGCTGGAGGGGTGGGTCTTCTTCTTGCTAATCTGGTCTTCTTAAGCACCTGAAAAACCTGACAGCAGCAGCGTGGAAAGCGTGTGCCCTGCTGCCTCGGCTCAGGATCTAAATCACTCTATTCTGTCCAGCCTCTCATTGTGTGAGCGTCTAGAGTTACCAGAGAGATGAATCACTCCGGGTTTCAGGTTTCGGCCTCTTGTGAGCACCAAAAGGGCCTTTGTTCAACTATTTATACTCTGTAGCACACCCGTAGGCCTGTTGAGCTCCACAATGAGACTGTGTGCACCAAATAATGCCAGTACACTGACGCACAGATAAATGATCGGCCGATGAACGGCAGTGTCAGTGATTGATCATAAAAGCCACTGGAAGACTGCTATCTTAGGGACGAGGCTGAGGAATTTGTGATTATGGAAGACGCAGCGTGTGAGAGACTCGTGCAGTGGCGAGCTAAAAGAGTGCGCAGTTAAAAGGTCTATTATGATGTCAAATATTGCTGGGCAGAAAGGTGCTTTATGGATCTACAGTCTGAGTGGGATGGCAAATGGAAGCAGGTATCCTCTCGCTTGTTTCCACCTCTCTTTGTCTTTGGAAGAAGTTGCAACTATCACCCTATTTTTTAAGAGTTATATCAGAGTTATTGCTTTCTTTCTACAGTCCAAATTGCAGCGCCACAACTACATATCTCTTCATGTAAAGCTGTAGGCAGCGTGCACGGTCTGTTTAACTTCTGACTCATTCATGTGAATTCATCCACTGTTTGCCCACATCAATTAAGCCATGTGGTTTGAAAAAAGAAAGCATCAAATCCCGTCCGTCCTCTTTAACAAAAAGAAAAATCCCATAAACGCGCAGCACAGCCGAGCGCAGCGTCCTTTTACCTGTCACCTCTTTATCAATATCCCCCTTTTTAAAAAACTAATTCTGCGCTCTTTCCTCCCCTCAGTGATATCCCTGACACGTCTCGCCCCGTTGATGGTTCAGAGGTGGACTGCTTCCATCCCGCGTCAGGCTGTCAAATGCTAGAAGTAGCTCTGCCGTCACTCCGGGGACCATCGGAGAGATTTATGGATCAGCGCACGACACAGAAAAACAAAAAAAGACAAAAATCTCTTACTTGTTGCCTTCAAGAAGAGTCGCGCGTTGGGAAATGTCTTTGCGATGTCTGGAGACGCTGCGCGAGACGTCAAAATGAAGAAAAGCGGAAGGGAAACACGCACCGAAGAAAAATAAATGCAGTAATCTCCAGAGATGACATGGTGTGTCGGTGGAAGGATGGCGCGCTAACCAGACTTCGGGACGGGTGAAGGCTGAGGGAGGGAGGTGCATGCAGGAGGAGGAGGAGGAGGAGGAGAGAGGGTGTGATGCATTGCAGCTGAGGGATGGAGAAAGAAGAGGAGGAGGAGGAGGAGATGGAAGTGTAAAGCCATTGTTATGGCAACAGTGATTTTATATGTAGTTTTATAAACGTAGTTCATGAACGGGGCCACGCCCAGAACACTGCTCATTTCCTCTGCACAGAGTATTTAAGCACAACGAACTCGTTCACTCCCTCTTCGACTCTCGTCTTCACATCCCTCCCCCCCAAACCCCCTTTTTGTCG